GTTTTGCAGAATATGTCACTGGCTAATTATAATGAGTTGATGAAAGCATTTTTTTACTTTTATTAATTTTACTTTCCTAAATTTGCACAGTATGAATGTTTTTTTTTCAGTCCAGGATTAGGGTTAGAATTGTCCCATTTAAAAAAAAAATCCTAAAATGGCAATGGTGCTGATTATCAGCCTGACATCACCCTCCCCTCCTGTGGATGATATTGCTTGTTGAGATTATAATAAAAAACAGAAAAGCAAAAGTACTTTCCAACATGACTTGGAGTTTTCTGCATCAAAACTTTCCAAGTATCTGATCTACAGTCTTTTCCATAAACATGTATCAGAAGAACCATAAAAAATAGTTATAGATTTTTCATCAAACATCATCTAAAATTCTCCCCTACAAAAAACCCTTCAGAGAAAAGGATGGTATTTGTGACTTAGGCAAAATACTGTTGTATGTGTAGTTCTGACCATTATTTATCATTCAGTTCTGAATAGCTCTCAGTATTCCTTTAAAGAATTCCACTGGAGACACAAATATCAAATTGTATATCTGATTAAGAGAGACAAGTAAGAGAGGCACCCTGCAGATTCTTATCTGTCTTTAATAACCAACATATGTTCCTGCCATCTCTTCAGAGCATACCTCCCTATTTCTACTTGTCACTCCATAAACTGCCTCTAGTTCAGAAATTAGATCAAGCATCTCTAATGATTTAATGATAACTGAAATCTTCCCTGGATGAAAAGGAATCAAATTAATCACTGTTTGGGGGGGGGGGGTTGTTTCTGCAAATTTTCTTTCTTTCCATTTCCTTTTGCCAGAAAAAGAAAAATCCATCCTTTGGCATTTCCAAGTGTGAAAAGTCTGACTGAGAATACACAGCATTCTGTGGATGCTTGTTGAAAAGCATTATCTTTTTATAGAGAATACTTTTTATAGAGAATACTTAATGCCCAAATTTCATGGATAGATGTAATATCACCCATCTGTTCTTTTGTGCTGTTTTGCTTAATTTTTTTGGTCTCCTACTTAAACACACCCTAGGCTAACTTCAGGAGTTTAGAAATAGTAGCTTTTATTTACTTCAGCTTCTAGCTGTCTTTTGTAGTTTGATGAATTTATCAAGCAAGGTCACTAACATCTATCATTTCCAATAACCTTCAGGCTGGGCTAAGCTGTTCCACTCCTGTGTGTTACCACAAGATGGAAATCAGTGCAAAGTGTATTTGTAAAAAAAACAAAACTGAAATCAATTAATGAATGGACAAGCTGATTGATTTGAAGGAATTTGAATTTGAGCACTGAAATATTCACTTTGTGTGCGTGTATGTGATTTTTGAAATGAATGTCTTGTTTTCCAATCTTGTTTTATTGTAAAGATATTTGGTATTAATCATATTGCTTTTTGTTGGGGGATTGTTTTTTTTTCCCCATAAAATAAATTTAATGACTTAACATGCTAGGTCTTTGCAATTTCAACATGATGTACAAATCTAGCCAAGAAACCTAATTTTCTCAAGGAAAAAAGTAAGATAACTTTTCATTTGTGGTGTATTTACGGGACTTACTTAACAAATGTATTAAAATTGAAGAGCCATTTACCAATTTTGAAAAATGAGATTAATTTAAATGAGTGGCAGAAGGGTCTCAACAAATTTATTTGGGCAGGGAAAAAACCAAGGGTTAAGTTTAAAATTATGCAAGACTTCCGTGAGAGGGGTGGACTTAAGGTACCAAATTTGAAATTATATTATGATGCGGTGGTTTTAACATTAATTAGTGATTGGGTAAATTTGACAAATTCTGAGATACTTTACTTAGAGGGATGGGATTTACTTTATGGGTGGCATGCCTATTTAATATTTAATAAAAAAATAGATTGGGCTTTTAAATCTCATATTTTAAGAATTTCTTTACTTAGGATTTGGAGAAAATATTATAAAAGTGATTTTAAAGTACCATTATGGGCTATACCTTGGCATGCGATAGAAGGAATAAAAAGAGGGGTTAAAATGGATATGGTGTCTTATAGACAGTTACTTAAATGGGATGGACAAAACTGGCAATTAAAATCACGGGAAGAGTTAGCACAAGAAAATTTTACTTATTCTTGGTTCCAATATAGGCAATTATTAGATAGATGGAAGATGGATTGTAAGGTGGGTTTTCTTAGAGAAGATGAAAACCTTATTAAGCAACTGAAGGATCAAAGACAAACCCACATTAAGAGAATTTATGGGGTTTTAGTTGAATTGGACTCAGAAACGGAACTAATTAAAGATTGTATGATTAGATGGGCGCAGAATTTTGGTGAGCCAGTTTCATTGGACACCTGGGAAACTATTTGGGTGAGAAATGTCAAATTTACTCAAGCACAGAACTTAAGGGAGAATTTTTATAAAATGTTTTATAGATGGCACCTTGATCCACAAAAAATGTCTTATATGTATCCTGACGTGCAACCCAAATGTTGGAGATGTGGTTATAAGGAGGCTTCCTATTATCATATTTGGTGGTCATGCAGAGAGATAAAAGCATTTTGGATTAAAATATGGTGGAATATCCAGAGAATTTTTAGAAGGAGGGTAAAATTTACTCCGCAATTATTTTTGTTAGGTATTGTTACAGATTGTGATACAAAGGAGGTTGTATTGATGTTAAACTTGATCACAGCCGCTAGGCTGTTAGTAGGACAATACTGGAAGAAGGAATCTTTGCCTACATTGCAGGAATGGTTTCTTAAAGTAGCTTATCTGGCAGAAATGGCAAAGATTTCGGCTTTCTTAAAGCAACAAACGCAAGAGAAGTTTTTTGCTGTTTGGGATAAATGGATAAAATTTATACAATTTAGATTGGGTATACAAAAATATTATATAGTTTTTTCATAAGTTTTATTTTCATATATATTATAGATAATTTTTTTATATATATAAATATAAAGTTTTTAATTTAATTTTTATTTTTATTTTTTAAGCCTATATTCTGCTCTGGGAAGCTCAGGGGGGGGGAAGGGAGGGTTTTTTTTTTTTTTTTTTGGGAGGGCTGGGGGATGGGGTTTTTTTTTTTTATTTAATATATGTATTGTTTAGTTTTATTTTTCTGTATATGTTGTCTTTTGTTTTGTATTATTTTTCCTTTTTTGTAAAATTTATAAAACTTTCAATTAAAAAAAAAAAAAAAAAAAAAAAATTGAAGAGCCATTCACTGTCATTTCTATTCAGCACTGCACATTGCATATATTTTAATTTTATTAGGAATATACATTATAATCCACGGTAATAATGGCTGAAACATGCAGCTCCATATACAAACTTTCCTGTTTCTGTAAACTTTTCAAATGGATATTAAATATAAACAACAGATATTAAATCTGCAAGTGATAGCAGTCTTAGTTATGGGGCATATAATAACATGTGTCCTCTGCAGCCTCATGTACAATATTTGAGTGTGACGTGTCAGAACTAATTTGTTTAGGCTAAAAGAATCACATTTACACATGTTGAATCCAAGGCTAATAGCTTTTCAACCAGTAAGTAAAAGCAGATGCAAATAAATTTCATATAGTATTTCATATGGCTACAAAAATAAATATATAACTCAGAGAAAATAAATGCGAAAGGTATTTCATAACTGCAAGAAGCTAATTCTAATCAGGAAAGCTGTAGGAAAAAGAATAAGACCAAATGGGTTTTGAGGGAGGGGGACAAATAGGGCTTTTGGTAAAGGTTGGTATCCTGTAAGACAGCTTTGGATGTCTAGGGTTCTGCTGCTCTTCTACTGCTCTGTTGGTGCTGTTGAGAAAAAAATCATGTTTGAAGACTGTCATTTTTCTATATGGTTCCAGACACTAAAGGTCCTTAGCTCTCTTTGCCAGCTCTCTTTTCAGCACCGGGTTTCTCCTGGTTTTCCTCTATAGGCACAGCTATCTGTATGTTTGCATGTATTTCTGTGTTTACTAGAATCTTGTGTCTATTTATCTGGGTGTAATTCCATTCATAATTGCAGGATTTACTTCTAAGAAAAAATACACAGCATTTGAGGACAGGTGAACACTTTTATGAGCACTTAGGTGTTTGTGAGATTCATTGAAATCAAAATCCATCCTCTAAGTGGACTTCTTTAGGAATGCAGGCACTTGGTTTGCTTCCAGCAAATAGGCTGTAGAGCTGTCAGTCAAAACCCAGCTATTCAATATTATTTCCAACATAACACATTTTAATCTAAAAAGAAAATAATAGAAGTAATGTATTCTTAGTAAAATGCTCTGTAAGAAGAGACATTTGTGCAGTAAATGTCTGCCTGGAAGCATCTTTGGCTGAAGCAAGGAACTCATGTTACATAAAATGCTTTTAGAGCAGCATTTTGAATATTGGTCACTCTCCCTTTTAAATATAACTTGATATAATTCTACAATTAATCAGAAAATATGGGACATTTCCATAACTAAAAAAATGAAGAAGCTAATATTTGTGATATAAAGATATTACAGGATGATTTATGTTATTTATTGATAATACAGAGCAGTTCTTACCCCCACAGTTTAAACATCACTAGGAAGATATAGATTAGCATTGGCAAACAGGATTAGATTATTTTAAATAGTTTAATAGTCATTCTATCTTCTTGAAACAACTAAGAATCTCTGTTCTAAGATTTTGATCAATGTATAGTTCTCAAACCAGACCAGTTACATTGGACTTTGACCAACATAAGCTTATTATGTTAGCATGTCGTAGGTTGAGAGAACAAATAATATATTTGCTGGACCTGATTATGTTTTTCATGCAAATGTGGCCTTCACAAAGACAGTTGTGATCTTAGACAATTTTATATATATTATCATAGAAACAGCTTATCTTAGTTTCACAGCATGGTAAAATATCCTTTAATTTCTTCAATTTTTTTCCTTCACTCTTACAGCTTTGTCCTTTCTCTACATTTGTTGCCTTCCCATTTTCTTTTTCCTCCCTTATTCTCGAATCTCTATTCTTCTCTATTGCAGCAAAACGATATCTATCAAAGTAATTGATGATGAGGAGTATGAGAAAAACAAGACCTTCTACATTGAAATTGGGGAGCCCCGTCTGGTGGAGATGAGTGAAAAGAAAGGTGGGGGATCGGCTATATGGGGCTGAGCCCTACCTATATGCACTTGTCTTGATGGATGCCTGGCACATCCCAACTCATAGATTGTCAAAACACACATTCCCATTATCTATGTAAAAGGGCAGAGAGCTGAGTCATTGACTAGAAGTATCATTGCTAGGGTATCCTAAATTCCATTAGCTGTCAAATTTAGGCATAGTTTTAGCCAAAGAGGAATCTAATTAAAACTGTCATATTCTCTGTCATAGAAGACCATCATTATTTAATCTATCTTTTACACAGTTTCAAAGACAACTTGAACAAAAACTGTTTGCTTTTGACTCAGTGCCATATAGTGAAAAGAATACTATGTGAAAGATTCAAATCGTTCTTCTACAGAGTAACCTCTGGCAAGTAACATTAGATCCATCTTTTTGTATTCATTCAAAGGAGGCCAAACATACTTCGATATGGGTTAGATAGTTATGCCTTCAGGTGCTGTAATGCATTCAAATATACCACAGGCAAAGTCTACCTCTCAGTTTGATGCACACAATGACCACATGTATTCATTCTTCATAAAATGCATGTCTGAAAAAGAGTGTGTCTCATATAAAGTTACTTCATAAGATAATTGTAATAAAATATGTTATTAGTTATTGAGATACAGTGAATACGAATGTAGCAAATGAATAGTCAAAAGCAAATTCATTGTCTTTCAAAACAATGATCAACACCACATTTGTTTTTCATGCCCATGGCAATACAGTTCCAGTATTAAATTCTTTAGGATGTACTTAACTATATTGATCACCAGGAAAATTTCCAGAACAGAGGCTTTCTGCTCTCTTACATACATAAAAGATAAGGATGTGTGGGTCAGAGTTCCCCCCATTATCATCACCATCAACCACCATCTCAGCTGGGTCAAACTTAAAGCATGTGTGTGCGTGTGTGTAACACCAACCATTTGTTTTGCCTTTGTCTTGTGTTCCCACAGGAAATTCATTACCCTTAGAATACTTGACCGTGAGGAATATGAGAAAGAGTGCAGTTTCTACCTTGTGCTTGAGGAACCAATATGGATACGAAGAAGAATGAAAGGTGTGAGAGTAAACCCAGGCACCTTACAAGAAACTGGGACCATTCCCTATGTGTGTCTCCCTCCTCTCACAACTTTCTTACTCAACTTCCACTTAATGTGTCATGACCTCTGTCAAGCTTAGCAGTTTTAATTTTGCATCTATCTCTTTCTCTTTTTTAAAAAAATAATTCTTGATGATTATTATGATCCACTTAAACATACCATGTAAATTATTTATATAATATATCTTGTGATATGGATGCAATAAAATCCCAATAATATGACCACTGCAGTTTTGTTTCTCAAAGGGCAAATTCTTTAGCGTCCTTTTAATTATTCCTCCAAATTATAAATCATTTGCAAACAGTAGACTAAAATATCCACAATGAAATGGATACTATATTCAGTATAGACTTGTACCTTTATTTCAGGTTTGTGCACATATATACATCTATAAGTCTGTTACAATCCCCTCTCAAGGATATTTTTAATTTTTCATTAAATATTTAGGGTTTTTTCTAAAAATGTAAATCTCTGCCAATATTCTGGAAATAGAGAGAATTCAATTCAATTAAAAATAAAACAATCAAATAAATTGCACAACAATTTAATATTATTAAGATGATTTTATTTATTCATATGAAACATTCCTAATCTACACTTTAGTTACAAAGTCTCCCAAAGGACTTTATAGATCAATCAAACTAGCTGGCTTCATATTGAATATGTTTGATTGATTCCAAAGCCCTCCCCTCCCCCTAAATGTTCTCCTTGTCTTTGAGGTGAATCAATTCTTATTCAAGGAATTTTTTGTTGCAGCTCAGTGTTAACAAGCCCTGCCAGGATGAAATATAGAAGCCAGCTCAAAATAAAATTTTATATGGAGCCTAGATACATTGTTTGGTTTAAAAGAAGTTGCATGATGGTCCTATCAGAACAGGCCATGATGGAGAGGAGAATAATGATTGATGTACCAACACATGTATTATCTTTAACTTATAATATCAGTTGATATTGTATTTTAAATATTTTCTTTCCCCATTGTCTATTCCTTGAGAATTATACACTTGATGCAGATATCATGTAAACACTTCACACTTAATGTGAGTATATCAGGCACATGTATAAATTTATTTTCATGCTTTGCCCACTTAGCTAAGGACAGAAGCCCACAGAGTTGCCTGCTACCTTAACTTGTGGATAGATAAACATAGCAAAATAGATATGTCCATTCTATCTATTAGATTACAAGGAAGCCTATACCACAAGTATACCCCAGTGTGTATATTGATGTGCCACATAGATTTCTCATCTAGTAAAGTTCCTTCAAAAAAACCTATGCATCTGTAACTGGATCTCTGTGGACATACTTTGCATACGTTTTTTCTGGAATAAAAATATTCTGCAGCAATTTAAAAAATGTTGAGACTGATTCCTGAACAAACATTTAATGCTAAGAACAAAAAAAAATGTGCTAACTGCTCCCAAAATATCCCTTAGGGCAGTGGTTCTCAACCTGTGGGTCGGGACCCCATTTGGGGTCAAACAACCATTTCACAGGGGTCGCCAAACAAGGCTGTCCGCCATTTTTTCCCCTTTTGTTTGGCCACGCCCCTGGCACCCGGTGATGTATAAGTGGTTGGGGGGTCACCACAACATGGGGAACTATATTATGGGGTCGCGGCATTAGAAAGGTTGAGAACCACTGCCTTAGGCATATTTTGCAAGAAATCAATTTCTTATTTTTTTTAAAAAAATTGTATTTAAATGAAAAAAAAACAAGAGTTATCTTGTTTTGGCTAAAGAAAATAGCTATGTATATATAATATTCATAATAAATCCTAAAGAATTGGGCTTGCAGTTTCCAGATTAAAAGGAAGCATTGATGCTGAAAATTCAATAGGCTCTCGGTTCAAAATGCATCTTAAATTATGGAGTGAATCTCCCTAGAATAGTTTGAAAAGCTTCCAGGAGATCTGCAAGCTCTCTTGAGCAGGAATCAGCTCTGTCTTATTCACAAGGCAACATGATATTTGGGAGAATTGAAGACTAGAAGACTTAATCTAGCCTTATTTTTTAAAAGCTTTTTTACCTGTCACATTACAATTCCAAACAGAGTCACACTTGATTAAGAAAATAGCTATGTTTTATACAGTGAGGATGTTCACAAAAATATGTTTCACCTAATAACTCTTTTGTTCCAACTGCAAATACAGAATCGTTGATATCAAACACAGTTGGATAATTATTTTTCTTTCAAATAATTGAAACCATTTTGAGAGCAGAATCCATGCTTTGAAATAAATATATTCATCCAACTTTTTTTCTCTGCTCAAATAGGTTCTACATATTAGCTCAAATCTTTGCCCAATCTATTGACCAGAGGCAACACTAAAATAAAAGAAATTGTTACTTTTCCCAGCTTGCCTCCAGATATTTTGGGCTATGACACTCCCAAACCTAATCTTCCAGGTGGTGGTTGCAGATGATAGCTGTACATTATATCTGGAGTGTAATACACTGAAGCTAGTGTAACTGTTGAAAAGAAAACCTCTGTTAACTTAGTTTTGGCTATCTTAAAAGCTACAATTTGTCTCCAGTTGTAGAAGTACATCACATTTTCATACACAAGTAAGTATATTTGAAAAACTGGAATGATTATAAGTGCTTAGAGTCAATAGTGCAGTTTAGTTTGAAATATTTGCTTGTCATCCAGGGATGCTTTCAAGCATATTAGAGAATATATACTGTTCACAAAAATAAAGGGAACACAAACGTATAGGATCCTATACATTTGTGTTCCCTTTATTTTTTTGAGCAGTATATTTTCAACTTTTTTCTCTAATCAAAGCACAAGACAAGAGCAAGCATTATCAATCAAAATACTTATGTTATTTCACATTTTTATTACATTCCTAGTGCATCGCTCCAACTGTGGTGTGTCCTTAGGCAGAAGTCTCTACCTTCTGTACTAAAGCTACCAGATCTGGGCTTCAAATATCCAGACCATGAAATGGCAGCAAATCACTATAGAGAAGCCTAATTCTCTGTTTCCAGTTAATCTGGATTTTTCAACCCACATATAGCAGCCCTATTCATTACAACCAAAGTCTTCCCCTTGTTAACTCAAGATGCACCTTTGTCCCTAAAAAGGATAAAGGCACATATAGGGCATTATAATTCCAGGCATAGGAATTATTTGATTGGCCTTTTTTTCTTAAGGAAAAAAAGGCAAATGCTCGCATATATCCATTGTGACATATTATTTCCTCAATCTCTGGCAGAGCTGTCAATGAACCAGAATTAAGATCCTTGCATATATCAAGAATGTGATCAAAAAGTTGGGAACACTGAATTAAAGATTTGTCTGTTACACGAAACGTAACAGTGCATTTAATATTTTCCCACAATTTCATAGCTTATTCCCATGAAACGTGTTTTTTCCATTATTTCTCATGCTGTTTTTCTTTGTAGTAATGGTATCCTGCAGCTTTGCAGTTCTGCGCTTTCTGGCCTCGTGGATCTGAGGCTTTTCTGTGGATGTCTTCTTTACTTTCATTGCTCATTTTTTTTCTTCTGTATTTGTCCTTCTGTGTCTTCTCCACAGCCCTGTTGTTGAATGAGCTTGGTAAGCACTGCATTTCTTGCATTTCTTTTCCATATGGGAGGGTCAATCAATGTATTTTATGTACATTATTTTTTCAATTTATTTCATGCTTTATTTTTCTCAAACAATTCAAAGAAGCCGTCCCCTTAAAGATTATTAAAACAATTTATGTCAGTTATTGAATGACAGTTTTTGCTTAAATTCATTCTCTGCATATACTGGCTTGAAAATGATCCTTCAGATTCAGTGTGCCTTTGACCTAAATCAAGGTAGGAAAGAACTGATAAAAAAAATAGAAGATACTACAACCTAGAACTAAGGAGAAACTTCCTGACAGTTAGAACAACTAACCAGTGGAACAACCTGCCTCCAGAAGCGGTGAATGCTCCAACACTGGAAGTTTTCAAGAAGAGACTGGACAGCCATTTGTCCGAAATGGTATAGGGTTTCCTACATGAGCAGGGGGTTGGACTGGATGACCTCCAAGGTCCCTTCCAACTTTACTATTATTATTATTATTATATTTGATCATAAGTTCTTACCCCCAAAGCTTGTTGCCAGAGCATAAATTAATCAGGCCAAAAATTCACATTGTATTCAGTCTTTCTTTTGGTACATTAATGAACTGCAAATGTCTCTTTTTAATTGTCTTATAGTTTGCAGCATGACATAATAGGTTCCTTTTTAAGCATTCCCTTTAAAATGGCTTTCGCCAGTTGAGTGTCAATAAATGTTTTGGACTACAACTTCCATGATACTTAACCAGATATCCTTGTTTATCCATGGCTATGTTGCATTCCTTGATGGCACTAGAGGGCCACTTTAAACAGTAAGGGAACAATCTATTTCCATATGTCTTTTCAAGGAAAAGTCGTTCCTGCATGTCTTTGGGACCTGCTACAGAAATAGCTCAAAAGAAAATTACTTTTTTATGATCATACAGTTATTTGTTTTGGTAAATGAAAATGAGAAATTCTGATCTTTTCAGGATATTTGCAACTGGACCTGAAGTATTTTCACATGCTAAATTCCACTTTTCAGAAACAATTTGGACATTCTTAGACAACCCCATAAAGGATACACATCTGTCGTAAAAAATAAATAAAACTTGACAAGAACAGTTCTCATCTATCCCTGTGACATTCACCTAGGATAGGTTTCCACACAATTCTACCATTCTTTATAAATAAACTTTCAACACATTGAGACAAAGGATAAACTAAGTTTTATTTAGAAATCTAAGCTCATTCAATATGTACAACTTTCTTATACCAGTCTTCTCCAAGCTGTCAGCCTTCAGTTTTATATAAAACTAATATCCATAAATCTATTTTGGCTGGCATTTACAGGAGCTAAGTCGAACACAAATGGACAGGTACAGTTGGGAAAGGCAATCTTACAACCTTAGCACAGTCAGGATATCTCCCTGAGTTTATATATCTCAGGCCTGTTTTTTACTGCATTGGAGTCAGATCACGTATTCATTCTCTTGAGAGAGAATAACAAAAGTAGGCTTCAGACATGCATATCCATCCCAAAAGGAGCTGCTTCATACAGTTGAATAGACATTATGACAACTGAATGTGAAGGAATCAAGAAAGTTTGGCATGATGCTGTAGGGAAAATGGAATATGTAATGGAATATTAAATGTTAACATCACGTCATATAGAGGCTTTTAGACATATTGTTTGAGATCCTTTTTATTTTGAGATCTCAGTACAGGCTTCTGCACCCAACATCCTCTAGGTGTACTTGATTATAGCATCACCTCCAACTAGGACACAGGCTGCAGGGGATGTGTACTGATATCCAGCACATGTGGAAGGTACCAGACTGATCTTTTGCATGAAAAATATGTATTTCCTGCTAATAAAATGCTTTTCTGTGAATTTTGAAAACAACCAAGGGAACATTTTTCAAAGGCAATGTATTTTTGTTTCAAATTTGATTATTATAGCCTCAACACATTTGAAGAAAAACAAGTTAGAGAAGATTATTCTCTAATTTCTAATCTTGCCTTTAACTATATGTTTCAACCAATTATGATTGACAAGGGTATGATTTTCTATTTTTCATTTGATGTTCATATTTGAGAAATTGACAAGCCATACAGATAAAAAATAAATATACTCTGAACATATTCCTATTAAGAAATATGTAATTAATATTTAGAGCAAAGCTTCAGTGATGTAAGTAATGCACAGTAAAACAATATATTAATTTCCTTTCTTTTCTCTCTGTTTTGGCATTCCTTTAGGTGGCTTCACAATTACAGGTATGGATTTTCAATTATTTTTCTGCTCAATTTCAATTTTATACAGCTGATCTTTTTTTACTATTATATCTAGCTATCAATTATTTGCTAGCAATATGTAGTGCCCCCAAAAAACTAGTGTTGTGTGATGGTCAAAATGTTGAGCGTCAACTAAAGAGACCTAAACGTAAGCCTACTTTCAGCTATCAAAGCTCAATGGGGGATTTTGAGCTAGTCACTCTAACTACCTCACAATATTGTTGGAGGGTTGAGGAAAAAAATTGAGGGAATATTATCAACAGGTCTCAGTTATTGACTATCTCATGCAGAAACCATTTGAAGTTATGACAGTGCTTAAAAAATGTTGTGACCAATCCTCATATTTATAACCATTGCAGCATACCACCATCATGTTATCATTCACGTGCTTCACAACTAGCATCCACTTTCACTTGTAACAAGCAGAGTTAATATTGAAGATGGAAGAAAATATAATTTGCAATCACATGATTTTTCACTTAGCAACCACATTGTTTCACTTAGCAACTGAAGGGAAAGTAAAGTTGTGAGCCCTATTGTTGTTAAGTGATTTTTTCAGCTCAGCATCCAAGTTGCTGATCTCACTAAGCAAAGACTACCTGTATTTCACTTTGTACTCTTTGTGGAATAATGAGATATACATCAAACAAATATAAAATAAAGTATCAGTGGCTAGCAATCAAAGCTGAGAGAAGTCTGTTGCCCCCATTACCTTATCTGTAGGCTTTGAATGGGCTTCTGGTTGGCCATTGTTTATAAAACATAGGATAGTGAACAAGATGGCCTTTTTGCCTGATCCAACTGGAACTCTGTTTTGGTGTTAAGAAAACTAGTTTAATCTCTGACCTTTCAAAGATTAATATATAGCAAGACTTCCAAAAGTGTTGCAGTTCATCTTCTTGGGGACCAAGTGCAAAATTTCAGACTAGTTAATCAAAGATTTACTCTAATATCACCCTTCACAAAAAGTCAAAAGATATATTTTGTAACATCAAACAAACCTATCTATAACACAGGAAGAAAGCTAAGCTAGCCCACTGAGGACTTCTGTTGCGAGAGTCCTATTAAAATGTATGAGGGCGTGTTCATTTCTTTGGAGGTTGCATAAAACAATCTCCTTATTAACTTTTGTGTTTTGAACAAAAATGTTACAATATTCTGCATTTCAATCTACTTAGATTTAAAATATGAGCTTTTATTTTGGATAAAGGGAAGAGTATATAGCTGATTGTAGGATTGGAGTGGATCTTGAATACCTGGCTTCAGAAGCATCACAGGTCCTTTCTCAACCCTGGGAAAAAGCCAAAGAGCTTTTATAAATCAGAACTATACAGCCATCATATTAAAGCTATAGTGAATGTAGATTCAGCTAACAGATGTATTGGAAGTTGTCATTCTATATTATGTTTGTTAACATCTTGGCTTGTTCTTGTCATTGCTTTTATAATTAAGGGAAATGTTTGAATGGTAAGATAAATCTTGATTTCTTTCATATCCACATTCTAAGTAACTAGCACTTTTTGATTATGAGAGCATTCTCACAAACCTAACATCACATGTTTCATGCTAATAAGTTTATACTTTAAAAAAAAAACAATTATTTCCTGAGAATTACTTGAAGGCTTAACTTGAGAAACTAGATGATGGTGTGTTTTAAGATACTTCCAGTCTGCTAACAACAAGGCTCCAAACATTACAACCAGCAAAATATGTGACTGAAGTTGCTAAGGTATCCTCAAAGTACTTGGTACCAAATTATGTTCAGCTGTATTTTTCATTACATTTTATTTTTTAGAAAGTTTACATTTAGTCATCTAGATTTCTTTTCCCACTATTTTAAATAAATAAAATAAAAATCCCACTATTCTGCTGCAATGTGTACTCACCACAGCTGTAAGAGAGTTCAGATGCAAGACACAGAAATAAACCATCTGAGACTTCCTATGTCCAGTATTCAGAAAACCACATACAGACCAATGAGTGACCCTTAGCCTGACTTTGGGCTAATCACTCTCTGTCAGCCCAGCCCACATCACAGGGTTGTTGTTGTATGGGGGAAAGGAGAAGGGAGGAATATTAGGTATGTTCACCTTGAGTCATTTATAAAAATAATAAAAGCAGGAAATAAATAAATCCCTTGCTTTTCCTAGAAGTTGTGCAGATGAAGCAGAGAAAAGAAAACTGGATATATATTTTTGAAGGACAGGATAAAAATATGAATAAATGCTTAAATAGCAATATCAGCTGCCCAGCTAGTGCCTGGAATAAATTGTCATTCATCTTATATCTTATATGCCATTGACAAAGCACTTAATTTTAATTGGGGTAAATGATAAATTGCTGTTGAGTTCTATAAGGAATCATTTGTATGGATGCTCAGGGACTCCATACTCAGTTAGATTGAGCTCTGAATTAATGATAAGTTTTTTGAAAAATGTTGCTGATGCAAATATTTGTGATGCAGAGAAAATATGCAAATATAGCAGGAAAAAATATCAAATATCTGCTTTGACTTTGAAAATATTTCTCTCGGGACCAAGAGGGGAAAAAGTTTGCAATATCCAGTAACAGTTGTTATTTGTCCTAAATATATCATTTGTACAATCATTGATATGAACCACATTAAATATTGTTACGAAAAATCTTTTTACCGAATAATTTAAAACAAATTATATGTACAGAGAAGACTGTCAGAAGTATTAAGGCACACATATGTTGATTTGGAAATATCAAATTAAAGTAAGTTGAACACATATTCTCTTAAACTGTGATGCAACTTTTAATGAGTTTGACTTCTTTTTGAGCTTCTGTCACCATCTTTTCCAGAATTTAACTCTCTGCACTATTGCAAAGTGGATTTTTTTCTATTGATCCTTATCAACAAAACTTAACAACAAACAGCTTTACCCTTATCACTGAAGGAGCCTTCTTTCCTCATCATTGTACTTCTATCTGTGTTTGGCAGTAAAGGCTCTTTTTTACATCCTCTTCATTTTTACAAGGACTGCTGAAACACTTGCCAATTAGCAAAACTTGACATGTCTTACCTAACCCTAAAAGTTTTTGGCTTAGCAACACAGGCATTCATCCATGATTGGGTGTAGTGAAAAAGCTCTGTGTAAAAACAGGAATCAGGTTTTATCCATCGGAAGAACAAAGTATTTAATAAAGTAAAATCAAATTGAGACTTTGTTTTCTGGTTCCTTAAGATATAAAGAATATCTCACAATGCCATGTTCACGTGTCATAGATTTGATAACCAAATCATGAATTATATTTGGGAATTCATTGGGAGATTACTGATCAGAAGGTGATCGTTGAAGGATTGACAAAGACTAGTAACTCATTCTTTGTTTCTGAAAATGTAAGAAGGCAAAAAATGTGTTACTTGCAGTCTTCTGTATGGTACATGATTCCAGTTCCCAATATCTCTGAGGGGCCATGCTGGTTGTCTCAGATGGAAGTTTGAGTTCCATAGCATGAGTTATTTCACAGATTTTCCAGAAGGTCTGTAGTGAGCATTTATGTTTGCCATAACCTTGAGTGAAGTAGAAATTACAGTTTACTATCTTAGTAGATTTCTCTAACAGAACCTAACTCCATTAACAAACTATTGAAACCCAGTTCAGCCAATTGACATGAATTATTTTTGCCATTTTGTCAGGCAAGCCTGTCTTCAGGAAAGTTCATGCTAGAGACCATCCCCTTCCTTCTACTGTAATCAACATTCAAGGTATTCAACTGTGCTAGTCTCCCACTCCAATAGATAATGTGAAACCAATAATTTGCATGCATTGGTGTGGGATACAGGGAAGGTGTATTTAAGGTGGGAAAGGAAAGGTAGGATTTAACTTATTTTAATATATCTTTGACAAACAATTACTCAATCAGTCCCCATCAGTTCTATCCCATTTCAGAGGACAAAATAGAGCCTCTTTCTTCAGACTTCCTTTGCATCTTGTTCTATTTTAGGTGATCTTCCAGGATGTGAAACATGAAATACCTTTTTCTTATGGTAGTTAATATCAGGCCTTGGATCAGCCTTGTCCAAAGGATTCTACTGCCTTTGTCAGTCTGCCCGATCCTTTGTTCACCCATAGATGTTGTTACTCTGAAGCTGTCTAGCCAAGTGTCCATCATTCAAATCTTCCATAACAATAAGAGAACAGTAGTCAGGGATTCTCTTTCTATACCATCCTTCTCATGTGCCAGAGTTTCTTGCCATTTTTAAAATTATTCTTTATCTATATTTAAAATTAAACTTTGTGATGAGGGGAATGCTTCAGCAACTCAGTAATTCAGTAACTTATTATAGCTGATGATAGAGATAAAACCTTTTGCTGCATCTGTGCTGGATCCCTCTGCCAAACTTTGTCCTGTGCAAAAATCAGTTCTGACCATTCAGTTTCATGGAGCTTCTCCCTTATTGTCTCTCACTAGAACATCTGGTGCACTCACTTTCAACAAAACAAAAATCAGATTACTTCCACCCATCTCCCCTCCCCTCCATTGACATTGTCTTGGATTCATTCAAATTAACAAATTACTTCTCATTGTTTTTAAGCACCAATCAAGTAGCATTACCACTTTTCAAATTCACTTTTATCACAAAACAAAAAGAAAATGAGAGGGAGAGGAAAATAAAATTCAAGGGTTTGGTTTTAAGCAAAGAATTAAATTCCGTCCTAGCAAGAGGAACTGTGCATTCAAAGATATGAATAGGGTTGCCAGATGTCCCTTTCTAAGAGTTGAAAGGAAGGGGCTCCTTTATTAGAGTTCTTTATGTCAAATCATCCGAAAGCTAGAAATATAAGAAAAGCTCCTTAGAGCCCTAAAGTAGCATTATTACCCAACCAAAGAAGTAATTAAAATTCCTTCTGTTGACACTTAGACATCAGGCAATAAGAGACTTTCCTAAAATACAGGAGCCACAAATATGTGTTTTTATAATACTTTGTATAATAAATAGGCGATTAACAGGGCAATTAACCAAATAGTGAAAACAGATTGCCAGTTATCAAGCTTATACTGATTGAAAATACCCCAAATTTCAATTTAACTTTGCATTATGTCAATCAAATGCTGATGTTCAGCTGGACAAATATATAGAACATATAGGCAACCGAATTCCACAGATTGCAGTACAAAGCAAATGTACTGCATTCATTCTTCTTTAATTTATTCCATCCCTGTGGATTCCCATTTCCCCAAAATAATCTTGACCACAGGGTTTACCTGCCCAAGGTAACTTCCTATCTTTATTAATACCTGCTCATCTCTGGCAAAGTCCATGACTGGTTGTGTGATCTGTATGGATATTGGCTAGTCTGTCTCATGTAACCCAATTCTCCCCATCTGTTAAACTGTGGAATCCTCAAATGAGCCTTTTAAGAGAGAGCTAGATATTGTGTGCTTTCAACTTGTCAGTACCACAGAATAGAGATTTGGAGGGGAGGAGCACTGAATAAAATTTATGAAGTTTAATTGTGCTTCTTCCAGTTATTACAGTAGCTCTGCTCAGACATTAAATTTCACCTGTTATATGGAGTACTTCCATTTGGCTAAAGAATGGAGCCCTGCATGTAACCCTGCCTCTTTCTCTCCCAGATCTTTGCATATTTAATTGGATGCCTGAACTGGAGGTATATTTCTCTGCCTGATTAAAGACCCTATTAAACCAAGGCCCCAGAACATACAGAAGGGTCTAGGACAATTTGCCATGACCAACTCTTCACGGCCATTTCATCATGGCCATCTCGCCACGGGATAACTCAGTGTAAATTAGCTTGACTAGCATACAAGCAAACAAGAATACCACTTTCTTCAGAGCTTCAGCTTACTGGAGGGGAAAGGGTGTGGCCTCAGGTGTACGACCTGTTCAGCATCCAATATGAGCTTTCTACCTGTTTAACAAATATATATTATATTATCACAGTCATAAATATATTATGGATGCCTCATTTGTTTAAACAATGAAAACAATCCACTAATTTCAACATTTCCCTGGTATTTTGTAGCAATTTCATTAATTTATAAATAGCAAGCAATGTAAGAATCATAGGATTAATGTCCCAGCAGATACCACCATCGTTGACTTCTTAGGAGACACAACCCCACCTATAATTGAGGCAGAGAAGAATTCAGGTATCTGTGTGTCTCTTTAAATGAAGGATGGAAACCTGTAACCCCAGAGCTACTAGCAACCCCAAAGTCCTTATTTGCCACCCGCTAGAACAGTGGTTCTCAACCTGTGGGTTGGGACCCCATTTGGGGTCGAACGACCATTTCACGGGGGTCGCCAAACAACACAGTCTGCCATTTTTTTCCCTTTTCCTTAGCTGTGCTACTCCCTTTTATTCTATTGGCTTTTGAAAGCCAATAGAATAGACTCTCTTGAATAGAGTCTAATTCTATTGGCTTTCAAAAGCCAATAGGAATTGTCCAGGCTGTCTCTGCCCTGCTGAGCCCGCCAAAAGTCCCATTCTGCAAACAGTGCTGCACCAGTTGAGTAGTCCTCGACTTACAACCAGTTGAGTAGTCCTCAACTTACGACCGGTTGGGGGGTCGCGGCATTAAAAAGGTTGAGAACCACTGCTCTAGAACCTTAATATACCATTGATTTTTGTCAGAACAGTCACCAAAAATTAATAATAAAAAATTGCTTCCATTATAAAGTGAGAAATATGCAGAAACTGTAGTATAAAACTTAAATAAGTTTTATTTTTTTAAATCAATATTGATTTTATTGATTGATTTTTATTGATTAATTTTTTATATTATAAATCACCCAGAGTCACTGTAACAGTAAGACAGCATAAAAAATTAATAATCAGTGAAAATAAGAATAAATGATGGAGACCTTTCCAGGCCTTTTGTTCCAGCCAATATATGTTATGATATCAGAGGCCACAATAAAAATAATAATAAAAAAGAGGTATGGATTATATTCCAAGAGAGACAAACTATGAGGAAAAAAGAAAGATGTCACATTAGGATACAGATACACCTACAATAATAGTTTGAGAAAGATTGAGATTAACGTGAACACAATATATGTTGTTTCTCACTTCGCCAGGAATATTAAACTCAAATGTGATGATGTTCTGTTGAGCCTAATTTCCTCTGTTTTCACATAATCAAGGAAAGGAGTACTATAGATTGTCATTTATATGTACAAATCTAAATACATGTTCTTTGGGGAGAGGACAGGGTTCCTTGCCATATTTGGGTAGAAGGCAATAAAGAGGTGCCAAAAACTCTTTGTCTTATCATGGTTATAAAAACTAAGTTGTTATTAGGAGTTGCAGCTAAATGGCAATTGTCAGACAATCCTAACAGGACAAAATGGCTCTATGAACCTGGAAACACATGAGCTAATATTGACCAAAGATATTTCTTTATATTTCTCTTGTGGATATGTTGTCTACTTTTGCTTGAACACCAATCCGTCAGTCTAAAATACTTGCTCATCACTTTGCAATTTCAAAGTTGCTACTTGCTGTATAAAAATTCCTAACTATTCTATGGTGCCCAGAAAAATTGCGTTTTCATTGTAAACATCATTTTCTTTTTCTGCCCTTCTTACCTTTTGCTTCTTATTTCATATATTTTGTTCCTTTTTTTAAAAGGACTTTTTAGGAATGTGCGATTGACAACAATATACACACTGGGGTTACTACTGAGTCTGTGCTCAATTGGAAGACATAGTTCATTTCATTATCAGACAAATACTCACACAGCAGGCAAACATCAGCATCTGTTACAATCATATATTTCATATTTAGGCACACCCTTAATTAAGAGTAGATCTGTTTAAAAGCAACTACATTAGGTAGTGTGTCACATTGACCTGTGAATCCCTAGGCTGATCTTTCCTTTCTGTTTCCCAATTGCAAAGAGCAACTCAAAGAGTCCCCTTCTAAATTGTGATTCCCTTAAAAAGCACAAGGGAGAAAAGGAAGAACTTCTTTGACATGCAGAGGAGGTGTGAACATGATATAATTTCCTGATACTTCCAGGTAAACTATCTGGAAGAGCAAACTTCAATCCTTACCATGCAGGAGGCTGTCCTGGTGGAATATTCCTGTAACAGTGGTCTGCCTGCTTTTGCCAGTATGTTGGAGGATAAACAGGAGCTGGCTGCAGAAAAGGGAATAGATTCATCATCCCTCAACTGGTTCTTTTTGTCTTCTCCATCTCCAGAGGAGAACGAAGAGAAGCAGCCTCTGACAAGCAAAGAGGAGGAAGAACGCCGCATTGCTGAAATGGGGCGCCCCATCCTGGGGGAGCACACAAAGCTAGAAGTGATTATTGAAGAGTCCTACGAGTTCAAGGTATAGTATGGAGACATCTAAAGTCATTATTACCATTAATTTAACGTATTTAATTCAGGCACCATCTGACAACAAACAGCTATTAAGTTATTATAGCTCTATTCCATATCTGTCCTGTGGTAACCTAGGATTATATTTTTGTAGGGATTCCCCCCCACACACACACACACATACAAACTGGGCCCGTGCAATTAGAATTTTGTTCTGAGAAAAGGCAAATTGTGCAATTCATAAAAATTATAGAGTTGAAATAATTTGGCTAATTTTCTGATGTTTTTATTTATTATGTATTATTTATTATGTTGCAGCATCTATTTTAAAGAAGGGTAACAATGTATTCTGCAGGAAATTTTATTTCACTAAACTTTGCCAGCTCACCTTTAAGAACTAGATTTTTAAGTCATCAAATATATTCATAGGCAGATAAATGGCAGCCAGAGCCATGTTCTTTTTTTCCTTTCTTTTCTTTCTTTCTTTCTTTCTTTCTTTCTTTCTTTCTTTCTTTCTTTCTTTCTTTCTTTCTTTCTCCCTTCTTTCCTTCCTTCTCTCTCTTTCCTTTCTGCCTTTCTGCCTATTTACGTATTTCAATGATATTATGTAAAAATGAGTTTGAATAAGAAAATTACACACAGTTCTCAGATTGTATAAATGATTTCTGTCAGGTGCAAGAAAACAGGAGCGAGGATACGGTTCAAAAGTACTACAAGTTTATTCCATGCAATCTCAGCACAAGAATCTGATCTACTAACTGTCAAGACAAATTTATTTATTTATTATTTGGGGAAATACCTGACTCCCTTGTCCACAACTCGTCCGGGTCCCTGGTTGCGGCCTGGAATGAGGCAGCGTCTGGGGCCCTGGATCGAATTGCGCCTTTGCGACCTCTCTGTGGTGGTGGTCCCCGGAGGGCGCCTTGGTTTACTGAGGAGCTCTGGGAGATGAAGCGCCACAAGAGACGTCTAGAGCGACGTTGGAGGGCCAGTAACTCTGAATCTGACCGATCACTATTAAGAGCCTATCTTAGGACTTATTTAGTGGCGATAAGGGCAGCAAAGCGTGTTCACTTTTCCGCACTTATTGCGTCCGCAGAATCTCGCCCGGCCGCCTTGTTTAGGGTGACCCGCTCCCTTCTTAAAGTGGAGGAGGCGGATGAACCCTTGCAGGGGAGAGCTGAGGAGTTTGTTCAGTTTCTTTCGGACAAAATCGCTCAGATTCAGAGAGACCTGGACTCCGACTGGGCAGTGCCAGCCGAGTTGCCGGGGGCTGGTCTTAGTCATGTTATCTGGAGCGAGTTTGAGCCTGTGACCTCTGATGAAGTGGACAAGGCCGTGAGGGCAAAGAATGCCGCCACCTGTTTATTGGACCCGTGCCCCTCCTGGCTGGTTTCTGCCAGTAGGGAGGTGACACGAGGCTGGCTCCAGGCAATAATCTATGCCTCCTTGATGGAGGGGTCTTTCCCGCAACCTTTAAAGGAAGCGGTGGTGAGGCCCCTCCTCAAGAAGCCTTCCCTGGACCCAGATGTTTTGAAGAACTTTCATCCTGTCTCCAACCTCCCCTTTGTGGGGAAGGTTGTAGAGAAGGTGGTGGCGTCCCAACTCTTGCGATCCTTGGATGAAACGAATTATCTGGACCCTTTTCAATCTGGTTTCAGGCCCGGCTACAGCACTGAGACTGCTTTGGTCGCACTGACCAATGACCTCTGGCGAGCCCGGGATAGGGGTCATTCCTCTATCTTGGTGCTTCTTGACCTCTCAGCGGCTTTCGATACCATTGACCATGGTATCCTTCTGCGTCGTCTCGGAGAGGTGGGGGTGGGTGGCACTGTATTGCGGTGGTTCTCCTCCTACCTCTCTGACAGGTCGCAGTCGGTGTTGGCGGGCGGACAGAGATCGACCCCTAGGCACCTCGATTATGGGGTGCCTCAGGGCTCGGTCCTGTCCCCCCTCCTTTTTAACATCTACATGAAACCGCTGGGTGAGATCAGTCGGCGACACGGGGTGAGGTATCATCAGTACGCTGATGATACCCAATTGTATATCTCCACCCCGTGTCCTTTCAGTGAAGCAGTCGACGTGATGTGCCGGTGCCTGGAAGATGTGAGGGTCTGGATGGGGGTGAACAGGCTTAGACTCAACCCTGACAAGAACGAGTGGCTCTGGGTCTTGCCTCCCAAAGGTCAACTGGATGGTCCATCTTTAGTCCTGGGGGGGGCAAATTTACCTCCCTCAGTGCAGGCACGCAACTTGGGTGTCCTCCTGGACTCACAGCTAAATTTGGAACAACATCTATCGGCTGTGGCCAGTGGGATCTTTGCCCAGGTTCGCCTGGTGCACCAGTTGCGGCCTTATTTGGACCGGGAGGCTTTAGTCATGGTCACTCACACCCTTGTCACCTCAAGACTGGATTACTGTAATGCGCTCTACATGGGGCTACCCTTGAAGAGTGTTCGGAGGCTGCAGTTGGTTCAGAATGCAGCCACGAGAGCAATTGTGGGTGCGCCAAGGTACACCCATGTGTCACCTATCCTCCGCAAGCTGCACTGGCTTCCTGTGGGTCTCTGGACGCAATTCAAGGTGTTGGTTATCACCTTTAAAGCCCTTCATGGCATAGGACCAGGTTACTTATAGGACCGCATACTGCCGCATAGTTCCCAGAGACCGGTGAGATCCCAAAGATTGGGCCTCCTTCAGGTCCCGTTGGCCAGACAATGTCGGCTGGCGGGCCCTCGGGGAAGGGCCTTTTCTGTGGTGGCTCCGACCTGGTGGAATCAACTTCCCCCCGAGGTTCGAACAACTCCCACCCTGCCGGCCTTTAAGAAAGCCGTTAAAACTCTCCTGTTCCGGCAGTCCTGGGGCTGATGTCCCCGGGGGGGGGGTGGGATATGATCGGACTTGCGGTATGATTGTATTATTTTATTGTTTTATTGTTAGATGATTGTTTTAATTTTGTACGCCGCCCCGAGTCCTTTGGGATTGGGCGGCATATAAATAAAATTAAATAAATAAATAAGTCAAGGCAAATGGACTTCAAGTGTGTGTGGGGTCTCTTTTGGTGGTGTATAGACTCCAAACTGATGGTGTATTTGGTCACCTCCTACATCTTCAGATAAAAACATTACATACAGACTTTAAATGTAAAAAAATCATGATTTTTTTTTTTAATAGCATAGGTGCTTTATCCTTTCTTTTTATCCTATGGATCAAGTGGTTAAGTTTGAGATAATACCTAACTTCTTACTGAATCAACTTTTCAATTAAAGGAGAATATGAATGCACATCTAATCTAGCACATTAAGCACAATGCCATATTGACTATTTAAAACAGAAGCACCATATTATTTACATAATTAATAATTATTAGAAATCTAAAATTAAATTTGATTTTCTTTTATTTGCATCCCCTGAAGATAATTTTAAATTAGATATTAAAATTTTATACCATTCTGTATTCATTTCATTATACAGGAATTATATAGGAATCACCGACATAAGCAATCCTTTTTTAGTTCTTTTATTATTTGTTTTATGCAGCTTAGCCAAAATATTCTCTTGTCAATTCCCTTCGAGAGTAATTTTGAAAGGTTGCAGGCAACCTCACTGAACTTAAATCATGGTGTAGCTCAAATTAATCATTAGTAAAGAAAATGAAGTATGCATGATTATATATTTCATATTCAATTTTATAATATTATGAGGTGCATTGGCTTGAAAGCAAAGTTTGTATAACTCTGCTCTATAAGCATATCTCAAGGTTATTCAATGTATAAGAGATCGGTAAAAGTTGTAAATGTCCAGTTTAGCTGTAGTAAAGCAAATATGTCAGTTAAATGCAGTTTTATGAAGTATTAATTTATTTTCAGAGATACATCAGTGTGTCAGGAGTTTCTACATGGCACCTTTATGACTATTTTTTAAGTTGTCTTTTTTTTATCCCCAGTTTAATCAATTCAGGGAAGAAATAGGTGAGGCAATGCTCTGGCCCCTGTAAAATTACGTTTCCTCGCTATGCATAGTAGATTGGTCTGAATGAGGTTTCAGTGCAAAAGAAGCTTATAAAATAAACTAGATAAGCTGTTATATAAGGGGATCCCTATGGTTAGGTGATCAAAATCCAGGCATTTGGTAACGGTTGCAGCATCCTAGAGATACTTGATTGCCATTTGTGACCTTCCCAGCCAGTTTCTGACAAGCAAAGTCAATGGAAGAACCTGGGCTCACTTAATGAAGTGAATAGTGTTAAGTTCATGAGTCACTTAACCATTGCAGCGATTTGCTTAACAACTGTGGCAAAAAGGTCATAAAATTGGGCATAACTCACTTAACTGCCTTGCTTAGCAGTGGAAATTCTGGTCCCAATTTCATAAACTGAGCACTATCTATAGTAGCATCAATTTGTATTTGATCATTTGTCCAGTTATCATAAACATCCAGGGACTTCATGATGGCGGATTCATGGAATGTCATGCAGGCAAATTATGTGGGAGGAATGGATCATTCACCCTTTCTTGGCTATCTTTTTCTTTGCATATTAGCCATAACAAATCAGTCTTTCCTAAGAACCAGCCCTACAAATGAAGCAGATTGGCAGAAAAAGAATAGATCATTCCGCCTTGACCACAACAGGTCTTACCAATTTGCCAAAAGTTTACTATTATAATAACAACTATTAAGAAGATGTCCAAAGAAAATAGAACTTCCTTTTCACCGCATCAAATATAGATGGACTAATACTTTATGAAAATGTGCAAGTCATCTTTTTATAGGTCTAATTACAAGGCACCATTAAGAAATACTTTGCACAAATATTTCAAGCCTTTTTAAAACAAGATACTTTTGCATATTTGTTTAATTTCATCCACTTGATGTTGATATCCATGCTCTAATGCTAACCAGCATCCTTTACATTTACCACATAATCCATGTTTTGTCTGTCCATCTGCAGAACACTGTGGACAAGCTTATTAAGAAGACAAATCTAGCTCTTGTGGTTGGAACTAACAGCTGGAGAGAACAGTTCATTGAGGCTATCACTGTTAGTGCTGGTAAGTTTTTATTTCTATAAATACCATAAATTACAATTTGCCATTTTCCTAGCCTGAAGTTATCAAGTTAATTTTGGTAGCTTGCATTTGTTTCAGGAACTATGACAAAGGAAGAAGCAGTCTCCCTTTTTTAAAAAAAGTAGATAGCATTAGCATTGTAACTTCAGTGTATTAGTCTTTAAATCTGCATTGCATACATCTCTCTGATGGAGAAGTTCTTTTATTTTAGATCATGGATGGATAGTTTGTGTCTCCAAAGCCTCTTTCTGTGGTGCCCATGGCAGTTTGGCAATCTAGCTTCCAAATATCAGTATTGCAGCTTCATTTTGTTTTAAGCACAAAGCAAATTGTGCCTGTGTTTTGTGAGCTGTGAAATAGGCTTAAAAAGCATAGAAAAAAAAATCCCAAACTCCCAGACCACCCCTTGGCAACTTTCAGCCCAGGCAAATGTGGTACAACTTGCCTAGTCTGCATCATTTCCCTGCTATGATGTCTCTAGCTTTCCCCACTTAAATTATACCAAAAATGTGTACCCTTGCCTTCTAAATGATCTTCAAAGCTTCTGGGTAAATGCAGTTTTACTATTTGAAAATCATGTCGTCCCTTTTAAGAACTGCAGCTGAGTATTTCTGTTTATTGTAATGGGGTGCAATAAGTCTGTTGAAAGAGAAGTAAAGTAATAGTAGAACATAGTCATGTGTTCTCTGTAGCTCTGAATTCAATTTACTCTAAGTTAGTATAGCAAATATGTTAATATTAAGTAGAAGTTAATCTGGATAGTGACTCTTGGGAAATTCATGCAGGCCATCTTGACTTTCTTCAAAAAAGAAAGGGAAAGATAGAGTAAATAATACATAATACGTGTGATTATAAAATGTTTTTTAAAAGTCTGTGCATGTGTGCATACATGTACATGCATACATGTCTCCCAGTACAGTCTGGTATATTGTATAACCTAATATAATTATTTGATAGTCTGACTTCACAGAATATTTGACAAATTAAAAAATTATTTCACTGTGGATACACACTCATTGCAAGATATCATCTTCCAATTTGCAAAGAATTTCCATATTTGATATTGCTTTCTTTCTAAACTATTTTAAGATCCCTCAATACCACTGAAATACATTTCCTTTTGTACTATTATATCTGGACTCGCCAGAATAAATACACTGTTCATCGTTTTTTAAAAAACACTCAAATGAAAAGTATGTTAAGTACAATATATTTAAAAAGTGCCATCTAGACATCTGACTGCTGTAACTATATCAATCCAACTTCAATAAATTGGATATGAATTAAGAACATAAGGCTTATTTTTCTAGGCAAAACTAACATTCTTACAGAGTTGAAGCAAAAATAAGAACAAGAGGATCTTATTTTATATAAGAAATATGGGCATTGGGAAGGGTCAACATCTTTAAGATTGTTGGTGCAGAATCGGATCAAAGACCCTTTGTACATAGACATGAGTCACTGCATGCACATATAGCATTTCATTCATGATCCCACCATCTCACAGATTTTGAGCCTCCTGACAGATATCATTGCCATGAATATGAAGGGACTAGATTCATAATTGAGCCCTTCCATAATGTAGTTTGATTTTAGATTAGAATATCCATTGTTTGTGACCTGTGGTGCTTTATATTGGGTAGGATATGATGCAAATCCAGCCAGTTATTATTTAAACCATAGTTAATAGAATTGTGGCTTAATATGATGTATGAATTATTGACTACATTTCTTTCACTTTAACTATATACAGACAAATTATAGAACTATAATTCAGGCAAATTGTAGAATTGATAAATTATATTTTAACTGTATATATACTGCTTCCATGAGCAGGATTTTCTGATCATTGCTTCATAAATTGAAGGCACACTGTCATTGTTAATATTCATGGCAAGTTCACCAACATAAATCACTGTTTCCAATGCATCATATCTTCTCCAAGAATAGATAATTGTGCTGCTGCTTCTATGCATCAGAAATAATGATCTTATTACTTGCACCTCAGCATGATTATCTGCTATCCTACTAGTTGAAAAGATAATTAAAAGGAGGTCAGACTGGAGTAATAAATCATATAACAATACAAGCTCCATTGGTGTTTCTGGCCCTCAAGAAATGTTTAATTTAGAGCAAAAAAATCAATTGATTTTTCTTAACACTCTTGAATTTTTTTAATTATGCAAAAATTGGAAAATGAATTATTTTCAGGAAGTACTTCCCAACTTGCATCATCAGCTAGAATAGAATAGAGCTGAAAAGGACCTTGGAAGTCTTCTAGTCCAACCCCCCTCTCAAGCAGGAGAACCTATACCATCTCAGACAAGTTACTGTCTAGTTTGTTCTTAAAAACTCCAGTGATGGAGCGCCCACGATTTCTGGGGGTAAGCTGTTCCACTAGTTAATTGTCCTCACTGTCAGGAACTTTCTCCTTAATTCCAGGTTGCTTCTCTCTTTGATCAGTTTCTAACCATTGTTTCTTGGAAACAATGCTTTGGAGAATAATTTGACCCCCTCTTCTTTGTGGCAGCCTCTCAGATATTGGAATACTGCTATCATGTCAGCCCTATTTCTTCTTTTCTTTAGACTGGCCAAACCCAAGTCCTGCAGATGTTCTTCATATGTTTTAGTCTCCAGGCCTTTGAGCATCTTAGTTGCTCTTCTCTGAACTTTTTCCAAGGTCTCAACATCTTTGTTTGAAATGGTATAGGGCAGTGGTGGCGAACCTATGGCACGCGTGCCAGAGGCAGCACTCAGAGCCCTGTCTGTTGGCACATGAGCCACTGCCGCCACAGCAGGTGCATCAGGCCACCACTGCCGCCCAGAGCAGGAGCCCCACCCAGCACAAAGGAGGCGAAGCGGCTTACAAGGAAGCTCAAGTAGAGGTGGTAGAGCAGAGGTCACCAACCATTGTTGATTAGTGGACTGGAAGAAAAGGGAGGGGGAAGCATTATGCATGCATGCGTGCACAGGGCCACAAGCATGAATGTGCTGCGTGATACTCACTAGCCCTGCCCCGTTCTTGCATGGTGCAGCACCTTGTATCTGCACCCCATGGCACGGCCGTTTTTGCACCTTGTAGCACGGTAGCCCATTTTTGCGCCTCCGGTTCTTGCGTGCCAGAGGCAGCACTCAGAGGCACCTCCCTGCCCCTCCATGAGGGCACCACAATGCTGATGCGGCCCTGGCACTTTGCGATAAATAAGTGGGTTTTGGGTTGTGGTTTGGGCACTCGGTCTCTAAAAGGTTCGCCATCACTGGTATAGGGTTTCCTGCCTGAGCAGGGGGTTGGAATAGATGACCTCCAAGGTCCCTTCCAACTTTTTTTATTACTATTATTATCATCATCATCATCATCGCACAGTCAGCCAGATGTTCAGACTGGATTTGGCATTTTGTCTACCTATCGAGTCCTTACCCAGGACCTGGGATAGGCAGATGTGGATGTTTGATGTTATTACAGATATCATTGCAGGATGGAAGCAGTTCCTAGTAAGGCCGCCTTTTGCAATTGACTAATGGCAAATTTGTCAATTCCAATGGTGTTCAAGTGGTGCTCCAGTTGTTTTGGGATTGCACCCAAGGCGCCTATTACTACTGGTGTTACCCTTGCTTGCTTTTGCCATAGTCTTTCTATTTCTATTTGTAGGTCTTTGTATTTTGTTATCTTCTCCAGTTCTTTTTCGTCTATTCTGCTATCTCCAGGCACTGTCACGTCCACTATCCAGACTTTTTTGTCTTTCTTATCGACAATTGTTAAGTCCGGGGTGTTATGTTGCAGGTGCTTGTCTGTTATTATTATTAGTATTACTATTATTACTATTATTACTATTATTACTATTATTGTTATTATCATCATCATCATCATCATCATTTTGTAGTATGGTGACCAAAATTGGTTGCAGAATTCCAGGTATGGTCTCACTAGGATTTTATAAAGGGGTACTAATACTTCGTGTGATCTTGATTCTATGCCTCTGTTTATACAACCCAGGATTGTATTAACTTTTTTGGCTGCTGCTGCACATTGCTAGCTCATTGTCAAATGATCGCCCACTAGGACTCCAAGGTCCCTCTCACAGTTAATGTTTTTAAGCCAGGTCTTGCCTAATCTGTACTCGTACTTTTGATTTTTCCTGCCTAAATGTAAAACTTTGCTTTTCTCCACATTAAAACTAATTTTGTTGGATAGGGCCCACTGTTCAAGTTTGTCAAGATCTTTTTGAATCCTGAGCTTGTCTTCTAGGGTGTTGGCTATTCCTGCCAGTTTAGTGTCATCTTTAAATTCGATGAGTTTCCCTTCTATTCCCTTATCTAAGTCATTGATGAAGATATTGAAGAGTACTGGGCCTAAGATGGAGCCTTGTGGTACCCCACTGCTTACTTCTCCATGTGGATGTAGTACCATTGAGGACTACTTGTTGAGTACGGTTTGTCAGCCAGCTACAAATCCATCTGGTGGTGATGTTGTCTATTCCACCTTTTTCTAGTTACAAAGCAATAAATTGTGGTCTACTTTGTCAACTGCCTTACTGAAATCTAAGTATACTATGTCCACAGCATTTCACTGGTCTACTAATTTGGTCACTTTATCAAAGAATGAAATAAGATTGGTTTGGCATGATCTGTTTTTTACAAACCCATCCTGGCTACCAGTTATAACTTTGTTTGCTGTTCGCAGATCTGTTTGTTCGCAGATCTGTTTTTTGATTATCTGTTCCAGGATCTTCCCAGGTAGTGATGTTAAACTGATTAGTCTGTAGTTTCCTGGGTCTGTTTTTTTTTCTTTTCTTTAAGATGGGAACCACATCAGCCCTTTTCCAATCCCCACGTACTTCCCCGGTGCTCCAGGATTTATGAAAGATATGGTGCAATGGTTCTGAGATCACATCTGCCAGCTCCTTCAGAACTCTGGGATGTAATTTGTCGGATCCTGGTGATTTATATTCATCAAGGTCAGATTGAGCAAGACCTGGCTTAAA